TTTCCTACAAAATGGTTATCCAAAACATTTTGTGGATAACGTTTTGTGAAATAATCGTCAGAGGGAAAGACTTATAGGCGCAGAGACGAAACCAGTATACATTTCTCTCACATTCACAGAGAATACAATCGCAGAAGTGGTTAGCCACAAACTAGGAACTGCGTTGTGGAATACTTTTCATGCGGCAAAATCACGTATCGTATTCACGTCCAGACCGATCGTGTGTTCTCAATTAAAAAACAGGATTCCTGCTTCTGAAGTTTCATTGTGTATGTACCAATTTACGTGTTCCTGTGGAGTAACGTATATCTGCCGCACGAGCAGTCGGCTGTATACACGAGTTCGGGAACATCATCCGGCCTGGCTGAACACTGGTGTGATCAAAACGATTACAAGTGCTATCGTTTCACACGTCGTCGAGTCCGACGGAATTATTTCGGCCCCTATACTGTGTTCGGGGTCGCAGGTCAAAGCCGATTAAAAATCGCATTCTAGCCACCTCAGAGGCGGTTGGAATTCGTCTACATAATCCCCCCTCCCTTGTGCGCCCAAAATCAGTTTGTGAATTCACTCAATCTACCATGGCCCTCCACCTCCCATCAACATCCACCTCCCCAATCTCCCTCTCCCCCTCCCACCCCGAAATCACACAATTAACACGGATCAAGCATTATTGCCGATGGCAGTATCAGCCATATCCGATTTCGTGAAAGTGAGACAGAAAACAACAACAACAACAATCCCCAATTGAACAATCAATCATTTTGTTTCCTCTTTTCTATACAAAAATGATGTGATATAAAATGTGACGTATTAGCCAGTTAATAAGTTACCGAAAAAAACACTTGGTAGATAAACTGCATTTTGTTCAACAATTCGTCCTCTCTATACTGCTTTACTACTCCCCTGTTTCTTTCTGGTTGGTTTAAAGCCGATTTAAAATATTTGAGGCGTGGCCTGTCTCCCAAGTTTCGTTACCCATTCTGCTGGACAATATGTGTCATGCTCATATTGATGTGTGATTGAAGTTGGCTGACAATATCTTATCTGGTTGCACCCATTCTTTACACATTGACCTGTATACAAGAAAATCCCACCCCTCCACCCATTTTAAATACAAACTTTTCCCGTCTTGGATGTGTGCATACAGAAACTCTTTGATACCCTACCTAACCCGGATACTGAACGACAAGCAGTGTTCGCTCTCAGCTTCTAATGAACTTATTTTGTGGTTAATTCAGAAAAATATGAATTCCACGTTCAACGTCCCAATTTTTCCCGTATTGACCAATATCGTGTTCTATTTTTGCCGGAAAGTTTGTGCATAATTCGCCAAAGCCTCAATAAAGTAGAATACAATTGATATTTTGATTACTTTTTAGCGAATGTACAATTACAGACACAACCTTTAGGGAAATGATGAGCCCAAAACTTCAGAAGCTGCCTAGGGTATAGAACCCTACCCCAGTTTAAGGCGGTCGTGATATGTGCCACACCCCCACTCACGGAGACAAACAAATTCACCCAATTAATCGTGCGAATATGGAACCATTCGTCAAGTGCGTTGTATGTGACTGCATTAATCTGTGTGGTCATAGTAATCAGAAAACAATTGGGAACGTTTATTGTCAGATACCATCATTCACCCGGCCAGTTTCGTTTGCCTCTGACTTTCGTGTAGATGAATCCATGCTTGTCGCAGGAAAGAATGCTATTAGTTCAGCGCTTCTCATAAACTCCTGTTGCGTTGACTATCAGTCACCTGATTCCATCCACACAGACCTCCCAAATTGAACTGTGGCCCAACCAGTGAGATTATTTGATGCCAACTGTTTCTCTCTTGCTTAGGTCCTGGCTGCTAAGACCACACACAACCATGCAATTTCAACCGGACCTGATGGGTTGGGTTCACGAAAGAAGGGACTCTTGAGGACAGGATTACCTGGGTACGTGCACTGATTGAACGAGCCACAATAGGAAAGAACTATAGAGTAATTATTGATGAGTTCGTGATTGCACTTTCGGGTCGGAATCCTAATTAGCCTATCCGTCGATCTGTTCGTCAAACAATTGTGCATCTGATCAGCTGATTGATCGATTGAGCCCATTTCTGGCCTCTGTTTTAAAGTATGCTGTACCCATACGGATGGAAAATGTATTCGCTGTACTACCATAACAGACACGTGCTATATTCACATAGAACGACGGTGAATCGTTGAGAACCCTATACTCAGTCAAAAACAAAAAGGTTTGGGTGTGAAACTGTTGAGCATTATACTCGATGAATGTGTGTGTGTGTGGTATAGTCCGTTTATTGATAATAAGCTGCCCACATTTTCCCGCAAATCTCTGCAACAGTTTCTTTCATAAAATAATGGGAGTGGACATGAGCCTTGAACAGAGTGAGAGGACATTTGTAATTTCCACTGTGCACAAATCGTTTAAAGCAGATAAAAGTGTTTTTGACGTGTGGAATGGTAAAAGGACCTCTTGGCACGTTTGGGAAAGCGACTATGTGAGTAAATTAACTTAAATTTGTCGAAATAGTCCCAAAGAGCATATCTCAAACAGAAACACAGAGTGGCGAACAAGCTCGTTTTCAGAGATTCGTATTGATGCCAATACACCTGGATATATATATCATTACTTGGGAATAAAATTGTCTTGGGAAAATAAAACAAAATAAATTCACAGATTACTAGAAACGATTTCATCACGAGACCGGAAATCGGGCTCACCACGATCACACATTTGTTTGTCCACTCATCCAATCATCGAGATTACTCGTGAAAGGGTGTGTGTTGGGTGGGCCAGGGAAACTTTTGTGCCTACACAAATTGTTTTTGGGCTTACAGAAGGGGGTTGTGCAGACAAATGCCTACCGCTTCTGCTGTAGCCAGCATTCGACAGCGGACCTGCCTCAATAATTGCCCACGAACTTTATACAGAGGTCGGATTTGTTTCAGCTAGGTGTACGATTAATGTACTGGTGGGTGACTTAATCCTTGCGATGTTCAGCCACGCGGGGTGGTGTTCACGAATCCGTTCAAATAATCGCCTGACAGTGCGGCCTATGTACGTTGTTCCACAGGAACAAGTAAATGAGTATACACAGAATGAGACCGCAGAATCTGAAACTTTGCGCTCCAGTCGCACATACGCCCTTTCACGAGTACCCGTGATTTGCTTCGTGGAGTCAAGGTTCCTGAGTAATGATTACCATCATCATACCCAGGCTGTTTGCGTTCACGGAATGCCCACCTTTACGGATTAGCTTCTGACTTGAAGTTTGTTGCTCTCTTAGAGCGCACACGGAGGTGTGTGTATGTAACTATCAGCCAAACGGATCTCTGGGAGGACGAGGTGAAATCGTGCGAATGAAATGAGCAGGCGTGAACTGGCTGTTCATGAGTCGCTTATGATTCTCACCTGAATATGATGGTGGATAAAGATAGTGAAGATAGTCTGGGAAAGCAAAAATAAAATTCATATGGACTGAGTCGAACCAACTGAAGATTATGGTGACACTGAACAGAGGGAGCTCTTTATTTAAGCGTTCAGGAAGAAGACAACCACCAATGGAAGACCCAAGAAATTTATCTTACGTTATGAACAGGGTACCATGGCTAGCACAGGATTCTATGCAATTACAGGTGTAGGAGCATATTATGATCAATAGGGAGTGGTGCACAGTGAATTACAGCGACAACACAGCCCAATTTGAATGCTCCAGATAAAATAGCATAAAAGCTGACACGACTTAAGGAAGGATTGTGAAGTTTTTAATTCCTGCAATAATTGTGATCAGTTCGATTAAACGTTTCTCTGGAGAAATAGTTCAATTCATAGTCCGCGAAAGCACCCCAACACCGTCATTAAAATCATCATCATCATCATCATCATCAGCATCATCATCATCAATTAGCACATTCTAATCATTCATTGTGGGCACATAAATCAAACGATTTTCTAACAGTAAAAGGATTTTGATTCACTCTTCCCACCGAGAAAACATCATAGCAACTGTTTCGTAACATTTAACCACACCACTAGGCAGTGTGAAATAAATTTGCAACCCTGTTGTGAACACACGATACTTCCTGGTAGGAAAGAGTAGTTAGTGTACGGGAGAAAACAACCATACTCGGCAGGTGTGCAGCTGATTATAATAACCATGAATTCGTGAGGAATATCGAAGGTGATTTTGGGACAAGATTTTAAAAGGCATACGGAATTGTTGAATTTTGATCGCAAAATCTTAGATAGTGTGTTTACCAGCAAAGTTTTATTCTTGATATAGCATTGTGTGGCACATCGAATGTGCACTGAACGTACAATTGACAACGGAGCATTTGATATCAAAATAAGTTGCAATTTAATGAACAACCCGGAGTCTTTTGTGATACTGCAAAATTAGGTATCCGTGTAGAAGGTATGTTGTGAGTTTTCACGTAATATATGTATGTGACTGGGTAATTCAGAAGCTACTCATCGTTTCTTCCACTTATTGTACTATATCGAAAGCTCTGGGTAGCGGTATCACTAGTGTACTAGAGTAATAGTTATGTAATACTTCTAAACCACTAACACTGTGTCATCTCCAGAACCTCCATTTACAGTTCTACAATTGAGGCACTTTATCCTTCGGGTTACCTCGAACGATTTATTTGAGTCAGAACTGGTTCAGTAATTACAACAAACAAGGTAGGATTATCTCATAAATTGTCTCAATCGGTCATTAAATACGAAGTCCATTGCAGAGCATGAATTCCTGAGCAACATTGGACAACTGGAGGAGTTCAAAAGGTGAAACACTCACAATTATGTACAACAAAAACAACAACAATAACAAAAACAGCAACAACGCAAAGTAAAAAGCCAGGAGCTTATGGAATCAAGTGCGCCTATGTGACCGTAGCACTCTGCCAACGAACGTTGAATTTTTGTTACCGCAGCACTTTATTGTGAATGTTTTTAGGCAATCTCGAAAAGGAACTCACTTTGGCAGTATCTATACCTTTGTTCACAGACCATGATGAGGTGATGTAGTCAATCACTCGTTCACCAAGCTCTTGAGGCACATTGTGGATTCGAAGAAAGTCTTTCACCCCTTTCATGATCTCGTTGTATCTGGTTCGGGTGGAGTACATTTGTTGCACGATGGTGGTCACATTCCCGAATATGGTGGCATAGACCAGTGCTGTGGATGAAATAAAGACACAATTATCAAGGAAAGCAAGCCGATTCTGCTACCCTTAACGGTAAACCTGTATCCAGAATGACCTCGGTCAAGTACCTGGGTGTCACCATCGGCAACAATCTTCGTTGGTGTACACATATTCACAACTGTATGGGAAAAGTGAGACGCCTATATTTTCATTTACGCAAACTCAGGCAATTCCGAACCCGACAGTCAGTCCTGTCATCCTTCTTTCAATAATGCGTTTTACCCATCCTATTCTATTGCTCTTCTGTAGTGCTTCCCGGTCTTCTAAAACAAGACTTAAAAGCAATTCGCCGTGGTTTGATAATCATCAATCGTGTATCATTAATTTCGATCGGTTCAAAAATCATGGAACTCATTGATGGTCACATCAACTCTTGTTTGCTCACAAGGTTCTAGATGACCCTCTTCCTCCAATACACCCTGATCTATCGTCTTGTCGTTCCCATTCGTCCAAACTCTCCTCATTTCGGCATCTATTCTCTCGCATTAACATTCTTAAAAATTCCCCTGTACCCTGACTCGACTACTTACCAAAAAGAAACAAGTCTCAAATGAATTACATCAAAATGTTTTTACATGAAACAAATATTATCGACATTCTTTACTTTTCGTTATTATTATTATTATTTCATGCTGCGTGACGAACAGTGTACATTTCTAACTGAAATGTAAGCATACATGTTTACACAAGTTATACAAATTCAAATACAAAAATACAAGTATAAAGGGGTAGGATTTGAGTTACTGGCTAAAGGCTACCACCAGTGGGTTTCAGTTGTCATACCGCTTCGTTCCCTTTTAAGTCAGGCTCCGGTTGTAAATTCCTCAGTAAAATTCACTCGCTTGACCTGGTAGCATTCTACTCAACAGCATATCATAAACTGATTTCTATTTTTGCACAGATTGTTTTTGTGATTTATTTGGGTGTATGTAACTGACATTAAATGACTCACACTCTAGAATGATTTCTGGTCTTTCAGCTGAGAGCTGGTAAGTCGACAACAGGATAAGCCCCGCATAATCGTAACAGAAGGACCACGAAATATGAGCACACGAAACATTGTGTTCGACCAAAGTCAACCAGTTCAGTATAGTATGTTAATCTATATATATATATATATATATATATATATATATATATATATATATATATATCAGATCATATAAAGTTGATGCAACCTGAGAATGTTGAAAGCAGGTGGAAACCCAATTTTGAAGTTGAGCAGCCTAAATGACTGTTCGCAGCTCAAAGGGATCGGGTTTTCCACACACACACACACACACACACACACACACACACACGCACACACACACACTTCACCCAGTGATCAAAGCTCAGAGTAGAACGTTTTGAAAAAA